TGAGTAGGATTCTGGGGCAAAGCCAAACCAGAGGACTACAATTCCCAGGATGCTATGAGTCAGACCTCATTACGCCTGCGCAGAAGTGGTGCATTGCCTACTCACGCCGGTCGAGGGCACTGGAGCTTACTTAGTTATGTGTGGTTTGAGTTCAAGCTAAACCCAGTCTTGGAACATAAATCAGCTCACCATGCTGGAGCCTCAGAGCCCTCAACCCTGACTCCCGCTAACGTGTGTGAGCTATTCCTATCATCTGCTCTTCCAAGCCTAAGATCTCGCGTCCTTCTGGTGCAGACCCTGAACCAGCAGAAGCACAACAGCTCTCAGAAGCCCACTTCCCGATGCAGTGGTTCCCCTCATCCAGAATCCGCCCCCCAAACCACCTTTCCTCCTACACAACTGTCTGTCCTTGATTGTGACCTAGATGTCTCCAAGGGAGACCCAAGTTGGCATCCTCAGAGAAGCAGAGACCAGAGGGTCCCCTGTTAACCACCCTTCTCACGTTCACCCGGTGTCTACCGAGCGCAAGGTTCCCTGTTCTCTGGTTGTCTTTGGAACTTTGTAAATGGAAAGGAGAAAAGCGTGGGATGAAAACCTCGGCTTCCTATTTCTTCTGTCCTTCGAACCTCGGAAATGTTGGCGGAGCTGGACAGAGGCTCTTGCCAGGGAGGGGGCTGGAGCTCCGGCTGAAGGCGATTTCTTCTCCCCGCCCTCCCCCCACCCACTTGTTATGCCGTGGGAAGCTGGAGCTGAGGAGAAGCTCAGCAGGTTCAGCTTTTTGCCACCGTGGATCATAAATGGGCTACAAGAAAGTTGGAGGAGAGCAACCAATAGCGTGCGAGGGTTAGACAGAGCGGTGAGCCGTGTCACTGTGGGGTGTTGCGGAGAAAGCTTAAGCAGTTTGGAACTGGGCTGTATTTCTGTGATGGGGCTCAGACCACAAAGATGGATGATATGATAGATGACACTTCGTTTTAAAACCTAAACATTTCTAACCCATTATCTCCTTTCCATCACTCCTGCGACTTTTTGGGGTGTGTGTGTGTGTGTGTGTGTGTGTGTGTGTGTGTGTGTGACATTTTTGACGTCTTTGTAAGAGCCTGCCTAGCTTCACGCAACAGGCCTCCAGGCCCCGCAGCGGCCACTGAAGCGCATCCCTTGCTTCACTCGGCGACTTCTTTCCACCTCGCTAGAAGCAGAAAATCCAAACTCTTTGGCGTGACCTGTTTCTGTCACCCCACCAGACTCGCCTTGCCCTTTCCTTTCCGTTGCCCCTTTCCCTCTCGGCCCATCCGTAACTCTCTAGACGCCTCTTCTCCTTTGCCTTGTAGTGCCCCCTGCTGGACTGTATTCTGCTCTTTCATTTTCCCTGTAACCTGTGATGTTTCTCTGCTTAGTCACTTCACCTATGAATTCCTCCACAGGACCCTGTGTTTTCCTGATCTTAATAATTCCTAGAGTTATTTAAATCACACAACCTTTTTTTTTTTTAATGAACAAGGGATCTGGAGAGATGACTCAGCCATTAAGTCACTTACAGAGAAACTGTTGCAGAGGGTCCTGGTTTGGTTCCCATCACACACATGGTGGCTCACAACCAACTATAACGCCTGTTCCAGGAGACCCAACGCCCTCTTCTGGCCTCCATGGGCACTGCACAAACATGGAGACAGAACACCCATAAACATAAAAATAAAGGTTCAATTTTAAAAATAATTTTAGAGATGGTTCAGTAGTTAGAATACTTGTTACTCTTTTTTTTTTTTTTTTTTGGTTTTTTCGAGACAGGGTTTCTCTGTAGCTTTGGTGCCTGTCCTGGAACTAGCTCTTGTAGACCAGGCTGGCCTCGAACTCCCAGAGATCTGCCTGCCTCTGCCTCCTGAGTGCTGGGATTAAAGGCATGTGCCACCACCACCGGCTTGTTACTCTTTTTTTTTTTTTTCGAGACAAGGTTTCTCTGTGGTTTTGGAGCCTGTCCTGGAACTAGTTCTTGTAGACCAGGCTGGTCTCGACTTACAGAGATCCGCCTGCCTCTGCCTCCCAAGTGCTGGAATTAAAGGCATGGGTCACCACCGCCCGGCTTTGTTACTCTTTTTAAAAAATACTTATTTATTATGTATACAGTGTTCTGTATGCATGCATGCCTGCAGGCCAGAAGAGGGCACCAGGTCTCATTACAGGTGGTGGTGAGTCACCATGTGGTTGCGGGGAATTGAACTCAGGACCTCTGGAAGAGCAGTCAGTGCTCTTAACCGCTGAGCCATCTCTCTAGCTCACATTTGTTACTCTTGCAGAGGACCCTGGTTTGGTTCCCAGCATCCACATGGTGGTTCAGACATACATGTAAGCAAGACACTCATCCACGTAAATATTAATAGAGATAATAAGAATCTTTAAAAGGCTGGGAAGATAGCTCAGAGGATAAAGTGCTTGCTTTGCACGCATGGGGATCTAAGCTCGATCCCAGCCCCCACATAAAAGAGCAGGGCACAGTGCCGTATATTTGTAATCCCAGAATGAATTCCAGGACAGGTGGATCCCTGAAGCTTGAAGACCAGCCAGCTGGCCTAGGCCGCTAGCCTCAGGGCCCAATAAGAGACTGTCTCAAAAGCCCAGGGAGGAGCTGTAAGTGGAGTTTCACTTTTCCTTGGCTGCCACTCCCAAGTTATCATGCAGAGGAGACTTATTATCAATTATAAATGCTAAGTCAGTAGCTCAGGCTCATTACTAGCTAATACTTACATTTTTAATTAACCCGTATTTCTTATCCCTCCTCTGCCACATGGCTGCACCTTCTTCCTACACAGCATGTTCATCTTGCTTCTTTCTCTGTCTCTCAAGACTCCTGAGACTCCACCCTTCTTCTTCCCAGCATTCTCTCTGCCTTGAAAATCTTGCCTAGCTATCAACCAATCAATTTTAAATTAACAATGAAAGCAACATGTACTTCCAGTGTACCAAGATTGTTCCACAGCAAGGACCTGACAAAATGGCTGGGCAGCAAGGCTTGGTGGGGAAGGAGCAAGGGCCTTTGCTGACAGATCAGACAGCCTGAGTTCAATCCCTGGGTACGACCTAGTAGAAAGAGAGAACCAAATTCGGCACACCTCGTTCCCTCATCACCCTCTCCCATGAACACCACCACTAATAATAATAATAATAAATGTGATTTTTAAAAAATTTAAATCTAACAAGATAGGCCGTGCCTAACTAGGAGCACCCAGGGTTAGGCTCTGGCCTCTACATGTACATACACACACACATGCATGCATGCATCATATATGTGCCCTCCCTTGTAAGCACATGCATATGTATACACACATCATCATCATCATAATAATAATAAATGATAAGAATATCTCCCCATCAAACAGGATCAGAAATGGAGGCCCAGTTGCTTAGGTGTAGTGGGATGCTTAAGGGCACCAATCTGTTGGAGGAGAGAGCCGCTTGTTGGTTCCCAACTACTCAGCCCTGAAATAATCACACAGAAACCATGCTAATTAAATTACTGCTTGGCCCATTAGCGCTAACTTCTTATCGGCTAGCTCTTACATTTTAATTTAACCCATTTCTATTCATCTGTGTATCGCCACGTGGCAGTGGCTTCCGGCAAAGTTTCGGCATGTCTGATGCTGGTGGCGGCTCCATAGCATCTCCCTAACTCAGCCCTTCTCTCTCTCAACATAACAGCCTAACTCTCCCCGCCTAGCTCTGTTCTTCCCTGCCATAGGCACAAAGCAGTTCTTTATTCATTAACCAATAAAAGCAAACCACAGACAGAAGGACCTCCCACACCACTTAGGAACACAGGTAGCCGGTGGAAGCTGTGGAATTTGAACTCAGGCAGTACGGCTCCCAAGCCCACAGTTCTAACCTGGTTGCCAATCTGCCTGTTACCACTGCATCTTATATAGTGCAGGAGGTGCAGGTTAAGAATAAAGCTGGTGATGGGTGGACAGGCAGACATATTGGATAGGGGTTTTAAACACAAAGAGTTAGGAGCAAAAAATTGCTGCCAGGACTGTAGGTGACAACTAAGAAGGTGAAGTAGATCATTCCCATGATGATAGGGTGATGAGGAGGTCAATAGAAGTGTTTGTCAGACAGAATAAAGACAGGACAAGGGATGCCACTGATAGGGAGCTAGGCAGCACTCAGGGGGCCAGGGAAGATGGGTGTGGGAACTGATGAAGGCGCTAGGCCAGCAGGCATAGGGACACAGTTACCGAAGCCATGGAGAGAGTACCTCAGGACTGGTGAGGTTTCAAGCCCCAGTGGCAATGGGGTGGCTCTGAACAGAAATTTTGTGACTGTTCTAGAATCAGGGCTCCAATCCTTCAGCCTCGGCAATGACCTCTCCAATCGTTTCCCAGTTAGGCAACCCCAGAAATCCTCTAGACAAAGTCAAAGCTCCCACCCCGACCCTTTGAGGGTCTGTTACAGACCGGCAGCCTCTGGTTAAAATGCAAAACGTTTTTGAGTTGCTTTATTGAAAACCAGGGGATGCCAGAGACAGCAACATGGAGACTATTCTCTGTCCAGGGTTTTCAGGCCAGCTATCAAGTCCGAGACTCCAGAAGTCTTTCAGTGTGGGCTCCCATACATGGTACCCACCCACATCCTCTCTGGCTCTTACCACCTCCTCCCTGCCCACTTCCTGTGTCTGAGAAGACAATGAGGTATCTGATAAGCTGAGAAGGGGAGATAGGGAACCCGGGTTTAAACCCCCGGAAGGAGGAAAAAGTGTGAAGCAGGGAGTTTGGGGGCTTACAAGAACACATAGAAAAGATAAGTGGAAGGGGGTGGGGTCTTGCAACTCCATCCTCAGGCAGTCAGGAACCTTCATACTCTGAGATGCGTGCCTTGCAACCGCACTAAGTAACATCAACTGTCACAACCTCCTGGGGGTAGTCGGGAAGAAGGCATGCAACTAGCCAAGGCGGCGGGAGTCCCTGATCAAGTAGCGAGCCATGGTTGCCCACAGTTGCAGGTCCTCCTCAGCTGGGTGCAGGCTGACTGTTGGCATAGGCCTGATCTGGGAAGGAAGCCCGGGCTCTGCGTGTCTGGGCGCACACTGAGGCATAGAGTTCCGGCTCAGGGCCCGAGGCCTGGGGCTTTGGCTCAGAGTCCAGCACCACCTCACAGTACTTTATGGGGGTCCCAGAGCTGGGGATCCGACCTTGTGCAGGTCGCAGCTGCAGGCTAGTGTAGCACGTCGCCTCCTCCGTAGCCTGGAGATGCGAGGACGTTAGACGTTCTCTGGACCCTCGGGAATGATCCCCATTTCCTTCCCTCCCCTTTTCTTCGGCCAGCTGACTCACCCTGGCAGGGCCTCCAGAAGATGGGTCCTGCCCTTCTGGCCTTGGCTCTTCAGACAGCCGTCCTGGCACAAGGGAACAGGAATCCGGTCAGCTCCTGCTAGCCCCTGGCATCTCTACATCTCCATCCCACCTACTAAGAGCAGGCCCTGTGCCCTGTTCCTCCAGTCCGTCCGCAGTACCTACCTGTCTGTAAATAGTGCAGGTTCCCATACAGGGGAATTTCTTCCACGGACTCTCCGGAGCTGTGGCACAGAGTTTGGGAGACTTTTTAGTTAAGAGGGAGTACTCCATCAACCCATCCCAGTTATCCTTTACTCACCGTCCCTGCGCCTCCTGACTCCTGCTCCGACGGCTGGTCCACTGGGACAAGAGTACAGCCAGCGAAACGAGAAGCAGCACTGTCACAACCCCTAAGAGGGCCCACAGTCCCCACGCAAACGTCACGGAGGGGATCCCTGTGGATGTGAATGGAGGGGACTGTTACTGCCCTGCACAAACCCCTTCCCCAACCAGCATCAGATAGGACATGGAGCCACATAACCCCTCCCCCAGGAACCCCTGCCCCGCCCAGCTCACCCAATGCTAGTAGATGGCTTGTGCAGTTGCTGCCGCTACTCATATCTGCCGCCGGTCAGTGTTAGAGTCGGCTTCACGCTGTCCTGAGTCACAGGTCTGCCCTAGTCATGGCCTGACAGCTGTCACAGCCCTCGGCAACCCGAGTGTCTTCTTAAACCTGGCCCCCACAGCTCAGCATCGCCAATACTGACGGTGGCAAAGTTGCTGGTTTCCGGAGAGGAAGGCAGAGAGGAGGGATCAGCAAAAGAACAAAGACCCCGCCCTGTGCCTGCACCTGCAGCACCCTGAGCTCTCAACTCTCTGACATCCCCAACGGCCCTGAGTCCCCTTTTTCACAGAGTAGTCACAGGTCTGAGTGTCCCACGCCATGTGCAGGTGAGTCCGCAAAGGCTCTGAAGAGTATAGGTGGCCTGTAATGCGACTAGCAAGGACAGGAGCCCTTTGTCATGGGATGTCCATCTTTTCTCTCTGGCTCACGTTGCCATGAAGGAGATGTCTGCCTCGGTGAGCATGCTGAGACTTCACGGTTCTACTCCAGGAAATAGACGTATTTATTTATGTAGTCCAGGCTGGCCTCAAACTCAGTATGAACTCGAACTCCTGTGCTTTCTTCCACCACCTCCGTAGTTCTGAAATTACAGGCATGCACCACCATGCTCAGCTGAGAAAATATCTGTATATTATTGCTATTACTTGCATTATACTCTGGAATAGGAAGATAGAGGAGGATTCCTTCCTCACAGCCTAACTCATCCCAACTGTCCATAAGAACCTGACACTCTATTAATTGCATTAAGGGAATCTCTCTTCCAGGCTAATTCAGGCAAATTGGGCCTGTCTTTAAAGTTATTCACTTGCTAGAGAGAGCAGCAGCGAGTTCCAGGGCTACATAGTGAAACCCTGTCTAGGGGGAAACATCCTTCACAAAGACTGGCTGGGAGACAGGTCAATGGGTGGAGTCCTTGCCTAGTAACTGTAAGGACCTGAGTTTGGATCTCCAACACCCACACAAAAGCCAGGCTCAGTGCACACATCTGTAACTCACTCAGCTTTTCCTGGTGGCAGGGAGGCAGGTAGATCACTAGAGCTCACTGGCCAGTCAGTCTAGCTGAATCAGTGAGCTCCCTGTCCAGTGAGAGACCCTGTCAAAGAACAGAGTGGAGCCCAGCTGTGATGGTGCATGCCTTTAATCCCTCGGGAGGCAGGTGGACCTTTGTGAGTCTGAGGCCAGCCTGATCCACAAAGTGAGTTCCAGGACAGCCAGGGCTACAAAGAGAAACCCTTGAAAAACTAAGCTAAAATAAAATAAAATAAAATAAGAAAAGAAAGAAAAAGAAAGAAAGAAAAAGAAAAAAGAATAGCGTGAAGAATTCTGGAGCAGGACACAAGAAGTTGGTTTCCAGGCTCCACACGCAATTGCAGGGAGCCGGACAGAATCGCCATTACAAGATGGCACCAGCTGCGGCGAACTTCTCGACCAGCTAGGAAGAACAACCACCACACAAGGATTCTTCTCAGATCACGCTTTAATGGAGTGCCTCTTGGTTGAGGGGGAGCAGGAAGCGAGGGGCCCAGAGAGCACTAAGGCGGCTGCTTATATAGGGAGTAGGCACACAGGTCGCCCTGTGATTGGTTGCCACCATCGGGATAGGCCCAAGGGCCCTTAACCACCACACATGCGGGAAGCAGGAGACAGCTCCCAAAGGCATAGCCATATATGGAGTTGTTTATTTCCAACGGGACAGGATGTCAGCGCCATCTTGTAATGGCGATTCTGTCCGGCTCCCTGCACGCAATTTTCAAAAATGTTTTATAGATCTTAGTTCTAAATTGTTGTGAACAATAATGAGGTCCTATGATGTGTATGCTTCAGATTAGCATAGGGTCGGGGCAGGGTCTTATTGAGCCCAAGCTTGCTGTTCAGTGGAGACTGGCTTTGAACTGCTGCTCCCCTGCTGAGGGCTAACTCAGCCAACCCAGCTGTTGCTCACTTTTTTAAAACCATCATAAACAGGTGTGATGGCTCATGCCAGTAATTCCGGGAACACTGAATGAGGGGCCAGCTGGACCATATAGAGAGCGCTATAAACAAATAAACTAAAAGCCCCGACTCTCCATAGACGTTGATTCAGAGAACATCTAGTCATGCAAGGTTCCTGACATTTTATATTGTTCAGGTTTCTTTTAGGCACAGTGTCTCCAGTTCCACAGATAACTAAAGATTTTTACACTTTGACTATTGGGCATGATGGCACATGCCTTTAAAACCAGCATTCAAAAGGCAGAGGCAGGCAGAGCACTGTGAGTTCAAGGCCAGCCTGGCCTACATTAGAGGGTTCCAGGCCAGGTAGGGCTATAAAATGAGACCTTGCATACATACATACATACATACATACATACGTAAAACAAATAGCAAGGAACTAAGGGTGTACAGCTCATTGGTAGAATTTGTTCTAACTGCGCTCAAGGCTTTGGGTTCAACCCCCAACACCAACCCCTGGCTCAAAATTTAAAACAAACAAAATAGGGCCTGGAGGGTCTGGCTCAGAAGTTAAGAGCACTTGCTGCTCTTACAAAGAACCCAGGTTTGACTCCCAACATCCATATGGAGGCTCACAACTATCTGTTACTCCAGTTCCAGAAGAGCCAATGTTCTCTTCTGACCACCAAGGGCACCAAACACAAATGTCTCACACAGGCATACGTGAAAACAAAAGGTTCCCGTGGCTCAGCCATGAAGATTGCTCGCTGCTCTTCTAGAGGTTCAGAGTCTGATTCCTAGCACCCATAGGGTAGCTCACAACCATCTCTAAATGCAATTCCAGGGACTCTGATGCCCACTTCTAGCCACTCTGGGTACCAGGCATGCAAGTGGTACATAGACAGATATGTATGTACTCATACATGAAATAAAAATTTTAAGATCTTTAAAAAACAAAAACACTCTCATACATTAAATAAAATCTAAAACAAATCTAAATAAATCTAAAAAGGCGAAATAATTTAAGCCCAAAAATAATAGGAAAAAAAAATGTTGGTTGCAACATACAGGAGGAGGGACTAGGACCTGGGTTCAATTACCAGAGCAAGTAAATAAATAAAACTAAAAATTATGGAATAGTGATTATAAAGTTGAGAAAAAAATGTTTCTTTAGTTCCCAATTCCTTCACTCAAGGGGACCATTTGGAGTTTTAATTTATATTTAGGGTTTTCTCAAATTTGTTGTGAATCTTTGCTAAATCCTTATCACTAAAACATTTTCTAATTATATATCTTTTGCTTCATATGAAATAAACTTTTTCATAAAGTATGTGTATGGGGTGTGTATGTGTGCACAGGTGCAGGTGCCTTTGGAGGCCAGAGGGGGTGTCAGATCCCCTGAAACTGGTGTTACAGGTAATTGTTGAAGTAATAAGGGCAGCGGCGGGGCTGCATCCCCAACACCCCAACCGCCTGCTCGGCTAGCTTATGCCCGAAATAACAACACACAAACTGTATTCATTTAAACACCGCTTGGCCCATTTCTATCTAACCTCTTCTAGGCTAATTCTCACATATTAATTTAGCCCATTTCTAATCATCTGTGTGTAGCACCCCAAGGTGCGCTTACCGGGGAGATTCTAGCCTAGTCCATCCTGGGTCGGAGCTTCATCCGGGGAGCGGGGCATGGCGTCTCTCTCAGGCGTCTGCTCCCGAGAGAAGAGCTGTCGAGACTCTGAGCTCACTTCCTCTTCCTCCCAGCGTTCTGTTCTGTTTACTCCTCCCACCTATCCTCTAACCAATAAAATGGGCCAGGGCAGTTCCTTTATTAGCCAATGACCTTCCTCCATCAAACTGTGAGCTATAGGACCTGCATGATGTGATTTGAACTCTGGGCCTCTGAAAGAGCAGCAAGTGCTCTTAACTACTGAGACATCCTTCCAGCCCCTAAAAGAAACTTTATTAAATGAAATCTAAGGTGCAGGGTGGGTGGCTGAGTAAGACTGTTGCTATGGAGGCGTGGACCTGGGTTTGAATCCCCAACTGCCACCCTGGTATTGAGAGCAGGCAGATCCTTAGAGTTCTCTGGCCAGCTGGTCTAGCAAGACAAAATGCTAAGACAATGTCCTTCTCCACATGTGTGCAGGTGTGCACACACCCATATACACTACACACAGAAGGAAATACACTTGAAAAAAAGAAAAATTAAAATACTGTTTGTCACTCATATCAACATGGAGAGTCACTGTATTTTCTTCTTTAAAATGTAATGATTTAATTATTAATTAAAGTAATTAAGAGTCATTACTTTTTCTTGTTCTGTAATTAATTTAAATTTGTTAACTATATACATTTCTATACTGGCATGTTTATATAGCTACAGAGTTCAATAATTTTTAAATTATGTTCCTTTTCTGTGTTTGCTGGTTTATTTTTTAATTTTATTTTATTGAAAATAAATTTGACATTTAGAGAATTTTTAAAAATATCTTTTTGGGGCTAGAGATGTAGCTCCATTGATAACATAGTTACCTAATATGCCTATAACCCTGGATTTGATAGGTAGTACCAAATAAACTGCACACATACAATCCCAGCACTCAAGAGGTAGTAGAATCTGAAGGCTCAGACATTCAAGGTCATCCTTGTCTATATAACCTGCTCAAGACCAGCCCAGATTGCATAGGGTTCTGAGTCAAAAATTTAAAAAATATCCACTTGAGTGTCAAATACACTAAGTATAGCAGTGATTTCTATTTAAAAACAGAGAGCTTTCCAGCCCTTGGGTGGTGAGGTGAGGTGGGAGGAGTCAACCTGGACTAATTAATGGGTCCAAATTCAGCCTAGACTACATTGCATGAGCTTCTCTTTAAAAAAAAATCATGAAATTTTCAGGCAAATGAATGGAACTAGAAAAAATCATCCCGAGAGAGATAACCCAGATTCAGAAAGACACACACTCATAAGTACTCACTCATAAATGGATATTAGCTGTAAAATAAAGGATACCCAGGCAACAAGGTACAGGGAGGCTGAGTAATAAGGAGGGATCTAGGGAGAATGCATGGATATCCCTGAGAAGGGGAAATAGAAGAGATCTCCTAGATGGACTAGGGTGAGTGGGGATAGGAGAAGGAGGGACCAGGTAGGGAGTGGTGTTGGTGGAGGCTGCTCGTTCATTTCCCAACTGCTCAGACCAAATAAGCACACAAAAACTATATTAACTGCAATATTGTTTGGCCAATAGAGTAAACACATTTCTAGCTAGCCCTTATATCTTAAATTAAACCATTTCTATTATTTTATATTTTATGACGAGGTTCGTGGTTTACGGCAAGGCTCTGGGTATCTGTCTCCTCTGGTGGCTACATGGCATCTCTCCTTGACTCTGCCTACTCTCTCTCTATGTCTTTTCCAGCCTGGCTTTATTCTGTTAAGCCATTGGCTGAAAGCAGTTTCTTATTAACCAATGGCAATAAAATATTCAAAGTGTACAGAGGCGAGTCCCGCATCAGGATGGGTGGAGGGGGAGAGTATGGAGAGAGACTGGAATTGGAGGGCATTTGGGCGGGTGGGGGGGTGATGTGGAAACCTAGCCTAGTGAAAACTCTCAGGAATCTGTGAGGGTAACGTTGTAAAGCCTCCTCGTAATGGCAGCTATGTAGCCTACACAGGCTACCTTCTGTAACCAGGCAAGACTTCTAATGGTGGAACTGCCACAAAACCTTCGACCTACAATCTATCCTGCCTACAAGATGTGCTGGGGTAATGGTGGCACAGAATGTGTGGCCAACCAATGTCTGATCTAAATTGAGATCCACTCCGCAAGAGGGAGCCCTGGATTACTGGGAACCAGAGTTTAGATAGCCCAGAGACCTGGCATAGAAAAAAAAAATCAATGAAATAACTCCTAATGATATTCTGCTGTATAGATAAGTGCGTGGGCTGGAGAGATGGCTCAGTGGTTAAGAGCACTGGCCGCTCTTCCAGAGGACTTGGGTTCAATTTCTAAAACCCGTATGACAGTTCACAACTGTCTATAACTCCAATCAGTAACTGCAACTGTCTGACACTCCCAACCCAGACATACATGCAAGCAAAACACTAATAAAATAAATAATCATAGATTGAGCCTAGCCCAGTCATTAGAGAGGCTTCCTCTGGCAGATGATAGGAGCAGATGCAGAGACTCACGGCAAAACATGAGGAAGAGAGGGAGCCCAAATTGGAGATTCCCACGGGGTCCCTCCCCTTGGCTTTCAGGGAATCCCTGAGGAAGAGGGGGAGGAGGTCAAGGCTCATAGGGGCTCACAGAGACTGAAGTGGCAAGCAAGGAGCCTGCATGGGTCTGCACTAGGCTCCATGGTATGGTTGTTTAGGTTGGGGCTCTTGTAGGACTCCTAACAATTGGAGTGGGGCTGTCTCTGACTCTTTTGCCTGCCCTTGGGACCCTTTCCCTCCTACTGGGTTGCCTCCACCAGTCTTGATATGAGGGTTTGTGCTGGTCTTGCATCTTATGCTGTGTTCAGTTGATATCCCTGAGAGTCCGTTCTTTTCTGAGGGGAAATGGAGAAGTGAATTTGGGGGAGAGGTAAGGTGTAGAGGAAGGCTGGGAGCAGTGGAAGGAGGGGAAACTGTATTTGGGGTGTACTGTATGAGAGATGAATAATTTTTTAAAAATGAATAAATAGGAATTTTGGAGTTTTTTGTTTTGTTTTTGTTTTTGTTTTGCTTGTTTGTGTTTGAGACAGGGTTTCTTTTTAACTTTGACTGTCCTGGAACTTGAGCTATAGTCCAGGCTGGCCTCCAATTCTGTCTGCTTGCCTCCCTAGTGCTGGGATTAAAGGCGTGTGCCACCACTGCCTGGAAATAAGAGTTTTAAAATAGTTTTTTGAGGGTCTCCTTGTGTGGCTCTGGCTGTACTGGAACTTAATATGTAGACCAGCCTGTCCTTAAATTCACAGAGATTCTCCTGCCTCTGCCTCCTGAGTGCTGAGATCAAAGGCGTGTGCACTGTGGCCTGACAGTTCTTTAAAATCTTAATTGACTGATTCTTTGGAAAAAAAGAGAGTTGGAAGATCCGGCAATAGTGGGCAAGAGTTCTCTGCTGCAGCAATGTGAGCCAGGCACTTGACAAATGTTCAGAAGGCTAGGGCCGAAGGATTTCGAGTTTGAATCTAGCCTAGCTATAGATTGAGACCCTGTCTCAAACTAAAACTAAAACAAAGACAGTAGCTGGGGTTACAGCTAAGTGGCAGAATACTTGCCTACCATGTGTGACTACTACATTGGCTAGACCCCCCAGTACCACCAAAAATAATGAAACCGTATTCTGAAGACCAGGTTTGGTGGCACACACTTATAGTCCCAATACACAGGTTGGAAAAGCAGGCGGTCGAGAAGTTCAAGGCCAGCCTGGACTACAAGACTCAAAAAATCGAAAAACAGACAAAAAGGCAGCCCTCAGTTGAGAGTGATGTAAACCAGAGAACGGGCCTAGACATGGCACTGTGCCAGCCTCTGTCACTCCAGGTTTGGATTACCCCACCTTCCCATCCCAGCTATCTTGGAGCAATCAGTCGTTGACAGCTCCCGTTGCCGTGTCCTTCTGTGTCTCTTTATGGAAAAACAAGCATCGGTCCCCACATTTTATTCATTTATTTAACACATGTGTACCTCTTGCCTGGTGATTGACAAGCCCTGAAGACAGAGAAGCAAATGGAACACATTTCTTCCCTAGTTGAGAAGATGGCCCGGTGTTGCCCAGTTAAAAGTTAGCAGGGAAAGTTGGGCATGCTGTCTGCGTACCTTGTAACCCAACACTCCATAGACTACAGTAAGAGGATCTTGGACTTTAGGCCAACATGGCTACTGAGACTGTCTCACACAAATAACACAAGATGGGACAGAGGGTGTAACTCCATGGCCTAGTTTCTCGGTTGTTTCTGAGACAGGGTCTCGCTATGTAGACCAGGTTGGGCCTCGAACTCATAGAGATCCGCCTGCTTTTGCCACCCAGCGCTGGGATTAAAGGAGTGTGGCATCATGTCTGGCAGTTCTAATTACTAACCTTGTGTGGGTATTGCATTACTATACACCCCGCATGTGGGAAGTAGAAGCAGGAGGATCAGGAGTTCTAGGCCAGCCCCAGCTACATAGAGAGTTTGAAGCCAGCCTAGGCTGCATGAGACCCAGAAGAACCTAGTTCTATTTACCTTTTGGGTCGTTGTGAACATTCATTCATTCATTCCATTCCATTCCTCAAGCGCCCGCTAGTGTCTTTGCTAGGATCGGACAGTAAAATAGGAAAAGAGAAACGGCGATATGATCCCTTGGCACTAGCAGCACAATAAAGAAGAAATGAGAAGTTAAGATATTTTTTAGATCTTTTTCTTTCTTTTATTAGCAAGTGTCTCGTGTCTCATGTCTCGAGGGTGGAGGTGACTTTGAGTTCCTGATCCTCTTGCTTCCACGAAGATTACCAGTATACACTACATCTGTAATTCTACACAATCAAGTAAAAGGTACACGGAAAAAGACAAAAGATGCAAAGAAAAGAAGCAGCCGCGCTGAGAATGAGCCCCGTTCGGTTGGTGCGCCGAGACGCACTGCCTGCGTCACTAGGACAGTTGACGGATGACGTCCCGCTGCACGCCGCTCGGCTCGCCCCGAAGGGATCGCTTCTTAGCGGGCTAGCTGTGACTCGCGGGGGTAGTCTACGCGCGTGCGCACGCGGCACTCTCTGCCCGTGGTCCGGGGACTTTCCCCTAGGCGAAAGGATAAGGAACTGGTCCCTCGTGTGTAGCCTAGGAAACAGGCCTTCAGAGCGAGCTGGTTACTGGGCGACAACGCACCATTTTATAGCTCTAAAACAGCCCTTTTTTCCTGCTTATGGTGAGGAAATTGGTCCGTTCAGTTCTAAATACAATGAGCCACTCTTTTAGGCACGATACTTTATACTTATAGATCCTGGAGCCATTCTTTCTTAAGGAATATATAAATAGATAGGAAATTAACTAATGTAGGAAAGTCAGATGGGCGTGGTGTTATGCAAATATTACTTGGCCCGCCCTGTGCGATGAGCGTGGCCACCCGAGGCGCCCTAGGGCGGGAGCAGCTGCGGTCGTGTGCGCGTGCGCACTTCGGCGGAACGCCAACGCTGGAACGTGGGGGTTCTGACGCACCTCCGCGGTGAGCCAGGCATGGCGGGCGCGGGCCCCGTGTCGAGTGTGCTGGGGCTGCTGCTTGTGTCTGCGTTGTTTGGGGTCCTGGGAGAGCGCCCCAGCCCCGATCTGGGGGCACACTCAGGTACCAGCGAGGCCTGCAGGAGGGAGGCTTGGACTGCCTGGGAGAAGCGTCCTGTCCGCTGACTGGTGTCTTTAATCCACAGAACACCGCTCCCAGGTCGGTCCCGGGGCCACCGAACCCCGGCGGCGGCCGCCACCCAAGGACCAGCGCGAGCGGGCCCGGGCCGGAGCGCTGCCTTTGGGGGCGCTGTACACTGCTGCCGTCGTGGCTTTTGTGCTGTACAAGTGTTTACAGGTGCGGTCTGGCCGTGGGTTGGGGGAGTCCTGGGCCTCAATCTCCTGGGGGCGCCACGGTGCCAAGAACAAGACCCCGTTTCCCGGCGGCCTGTGAAATGAAGACTAGTTAGTTCCTTGGTTTTCCCACATCGTGGGGGTTCGAGGAGCTAGAGAAGTAATGGGTGTAAGGCGCCTGGGAGAGGATAGCTAATGACCGTTACGTTTAATCCTCCCACAGTTCAGTGAAGAGCGATTTTTTTTTTCCACCATTCACCTAGTGTCTGATGGAAGTGAGATTTTAACCCAACCATAGTGTCTATATGCGAAACAATGCAGTTACTGCTGAGGCTCCAACTTTGGCCCAAGGAGGGTGTTAGTGTGCCAGACACCAAGCCTTTCATGTTCTCCTTGGAAAGGAAGGCCTGAAATGTGAACTAACAGTACATTCTGATGGGGCTGAACTAGAAAGTGGTACCTACCACCTAGGGCTGTATCTTCAGTTCTGATCAATTACTTATATTAGGAAATAGAGACTGAACTAATTAGTGACAGAAAACTAGCTGAGATGGCTAATAACGAGCCAGGCAGGCTAGACAGGCTGGAATGAAGATTAATAAATGCTAGTCCTGACCTGTGAATGGAGCTAAGCGGTCAGGGAGACAAGCTGCAGGACCTGTGGAAGAGAGATGTAGGCATTGCAGTTGATAGGTTCAATTAAAGGGTCTGCCCATCCGAACAGTGAGAGAATTATACCCTATAACCTTAGGACACTGCCTTTAAGAGCACTATATATTCAGTAAAACCTGGAAGGGGGGGGCGATGTAAATTGAAAACTAATTTGACAGACTGGGGACTTGATACCAGCAGAAACTGAGGGAGCTAGACCTAGTGGCACAGACTTGCTATCCCAGCTACTCCAGAGGTTGAGGCAGGAAGGAGGATTTTAAGTCCAAAACCTGTCCGGGCAATTTAATAAGACCCTATCTCAAAGGCAACACAGAGGGTGGGGATGCTAAACAAGGAAGCAGGCATCTGGCCAGCCAGTCTTCAGATTCCTGCTGTAGAGTCTCACATTCCAAGGAGTGCTTTGGCAATGTAGCCATATGTGGGTATACCGGCGTGTTCTTTCACGTTCTGGGTAAGCAGCTGGACTAGAAACTATTGTGATTCTGAGGTGAATGCCCAGAGCTTCTCTGGTCCCTGTCTTTACTGCCATTGAGGACTGAGGTGCTGCAGCTTTACCCTTTCCTGCTTCCACAGCAGGGCACGGATGAGGCTGCCATTCTCCAAGAGGAAAAAAACAAGAAGAAATCCTTGCAGGCAGGTGGGTTGAGCAGCTGTAGTGGTGGTTTTTGTGGGGGAGCCGGTCAGGGGACTCAGGGAGGAACCATCCCATCTACCTTCCTCCCAGAGCAACAGCTGGTGCAGTTAACACAACAGCTGGCCCAGACAGAACAGCATCTCAACAACCTCATGACCCAGCTGGACCCCCTTTTTGAGCGGTGAGAATCTGCGGGGTGAGTGGGAAGCCACAGCGACAGATTGAGCAGCCCCTGAGTGGATATTTCTGCAGGGTGACTACGCTGGTTGGAACCCAGCGGGAACTCCTCAGCATGAAGCTCAAGACCGTCCACCAGCTCCTTCAAGACCGCAAGCCTGACGCGGGTGTGCAAGTTCCAGGTAAACGATCGGGAGGTGATGGCTGGGAGACAAAGCCCGTGAAACTGGAACCAGCTGATCTCTCCCTCACAGAGGCCAGCGTACCCTTTCCTGAGGACTTGGGGAAAGAGGACCAACAAGAAGCTGGGAACAGTCAGACCTGCAAGGGGCCCACAAACTGGAGCCCAGATTCATGGAACCTAGCTCCTTCCTGGGAGGTAGAGCAGGGACTGAGGCGAAGATGGCACAAGACTGTCACAAAGGACCCAGCATTGAAGGGGGGGCAGCCACTGAAGGGTCAGTAAAACCCAGTCCCCTTGCCCTGGGTATGTCTGTGTTTTTCCTGCTTCCAGCTGGTCAGACACAGGAATACTAGGTGCATAAGCCAGCTGTGCCTCCCAGAAAAGGTTCCCTTATTAGGAAAAGAGACTGCTTCCCAGAATTCAGAGAAGACAGAGGGAGCTACAGTCCTTCCCTGTACTCCGGAGGCTACTGAATGCCAGCCGTCAAGGCTCAAATTCCTTTTTCTCGTGGTTTAGACAAAGTTCTTTCCAAAAACACAACAAAACAGCACTTTATTAAAATCCAGCGGGGAAATAAATTATAGGACTTTTCAAACATAGGAGGTAGTTCAGGAAGATCTGGAGTTCAAGGCCAGCTTGGGCTACATGAAATCTTGTCTCAAGAAAAGAAAGAAACTATACAGTAGCTAGGTGTGGCCGCATACACCTGGTAAACCAACACTTGAAAGGCTGAGGCAGGAGGAATTCAAGTTCACATCAGCCTGGGTCACATAGGAAGACCCTGTCTCAAAAATAAAATAAGAAACCATCGATAACAAAAAGGGCCTCCTATAAAAAGCTACAGATTGAATAGGCAGCAAGGCTCCCCCCGCCCCCCTCCCTGTGGCATGGTGTCAAAGGAGCTGGATCAGCTGGGGCTCAGCTAGGTTCAAGCCTGCTTTCTGATTCTTGTTTTGTTTTTTAAAACAAAACAGGGTTTCTCTTATGTGGCCTTGGATGTCCTAGAATTCGTTCTGTAGACAGTGCTGGCCTAGAACTCAGAGATCAGCCTGTCTCTGCCTCCCAAGCACTGGGATTAAAGGTGTGCGCCACCACTGCCAGCTTGCTTTGATAAACTAGTTAAATGGCCCGTGTCAGGCCATGGAGGGCCCTGTGGTTCCAGTGTTGAATTCGACTTCCTTTTGTTCTTGGCCCTGCCCTATCCCTGAGTATCCTGAGTTCTGGAATTTTAAGATTCTTCTTAGGTATGCCAGCTGCCACATATATCCCAGGATAGCACATTTGTAGATGACAGCATCATGTTGCAGTAGGGCTGGACACTTCTAGCTCTTCTGACTTCTGTAGGAAGAGATAAACAGTTCAGGCTGGAATGCGTGCTCTGTTCAGTCGCCCGTGGGGAGCCCAGCGGTGAGAGAAGCACTCCTTTCCAGCTCAGGAAAGGGCAGAGCTTACCTGATGGCCACGGTCAGGCTGTGGTACCATCGTGACAGCTCCTCGTGGTCAGTGGACATGAGCAGTAGCTTCTCATGGGGGAAGGACAGCTAGGGAGAAACGGCTTTAGTTCAGAACGAGTCAGGCCGAAGCGGTCACTGGTTCCATGGCGGTCACTCAGGGATAAGAGGATGACTAAAAGGAGAGCTTGTCCCCAGCCATGCCCTTACTGTCATGGAAAGGGACCCAGGCCAAGTGATACGCTGGTCTGTGAGTGCCTGTAGTACATCTGAGGCCCAGATTTCCCATCTACTTACACTGAGCAGACCACCACAAGTTCCTCCCGAATGGCCAAAGACCCTGTTAAGTTGACACTGGGACATAGGGTACAGAGCCCTGCAGACAAAGGTGCCACTCTTCAGCAGGTGCAGTGGGGGTCGAGGCTTGGCCATGAGGAGCACATCAGAGAAGAGGAAGAACATGCGGGGCCGGGGCTCCCCAGTGGGAGGCACCACTAAAAGCCAGCCCTGTCTCAGGAACCATCGCCCTAGAAAATGAGAGCCGTTAATCTTGTACAGCTTCAGAATCCATGGGAACACAAAAGGGCAGGAAACACGGGCAGGAGGTATATGCTGGCGTTGAAGTTTTTTTTTTTTTAATTATCGTATGTATATGTAGAGGTCAGAGGACAACTCCGGGGAGTCAGTTCTTTCCTGCTACCTTTACGTGGGTTCCGGGATTAACTCAGTTCATCCAGCAAGTGCTTTCAGCCACTGAGCCATCTTGCTAGCCCAATAATATGCTGGCTTTGTTGAGGAAGAGAAGCAAGTAAGGGGGTAATGAGGACGGAAGGACAAAGTCCACAGTTTACCTGAGGTAAGCCCTTTTGCCTTGTGTCCACTGAGTAGAGCCTGGACACGGAGGAGGTGCTGGTCATTCTTCTGGCTCTGGCCAATGGCGTGGACTCTCTGGGCAGTCTCGCTCACCAGGCGGGCAGCCCCTAGAACAACACCCTCTCCCTCATTTCCAACAGTACTTAGGCTCTGCGTGGCTACTGGTGGTAGCTAGCTAGCCTGGAGGGGCCTGCATCAGGTTCTAGCTTCTTGCAGAGGCAGGACCCTTAGGGACACTATACATGTAATGGGAGATGGGGACATACCAGGCATTGTTGGAGGTCAGAACCAGAAAGACTTTCGGGACAGGCAGCCTCTGCCTGTGTTGGAGAAGAACAAAAACCTACGTGTGAGCTGTTGGTAGTCAGGGCTGTTGGGAACTGTGTTTTCCGCCAAGGCCACGACAAGATTCTCGTACCTGGAAGTGGACAATTGGAAGAAAAGTGAAGTAGAGCCAGGCAAGATGCCCTGGTTTCAAATGATCTGAAGAGCACCTCCCAGATGTTCATCCCTTAATTAAAAGGTCAGGAAAGGCCTGGCTGCTCTGCTGCCCCTCTCCAACCTGGGACTCAGAATCTGGGCTCACACTCTGCAGGCCACTTCCATCCCACAGTAAAGAATCAGTGGCCGACTGTAGTTCAGGAGGCTGGGTCAGAAGATGCAACTTAAACCAAGGAGGCTACCACAGACAACCTAGGAACCCTGGAATAGAACTTCGAGACCAATGAACTTTTCCGGACAGCCTGTCTATTTCTTAGTGCAGGTTCCCTCCCTTCAGTATGCAGTCCCACGGTCCCAGTCTGAAGCTGCAGTCCCTGGGTGCCCCTGTACTTCAAGACACAGTCCCACAGCCCCAGGTCTCAGGCTGCAGCCCCTGGGTACCCCTGAGTATTCACATTTACTCCAGTAAAAGCGCCTTAGAAGATAATTGGGCTCAGAGAGGCAGAGCTGGGATAGAACCTATGGCGTCCCCCACAAAGCTGTAGGCAGAGCTATGCAGCCAGAGGAACTAATTCTAGTCTAGAGGGGTCCACTCACTGCTGGAGCCGCTGCACAGGCAGAGGGAGCAGGTCCTGGAGTTGAAGACCCCTAAATTCAGGGCGGCCTTCCTGAAGCCGCACGAACCTCCGAAAACGTTTATTCTTCTTCAGCTGCGTCTGAATACATAGGGAGAGTTCGTATCAGGAAGAGAAACCACTCCCTTATATTACACTCTGTGTACACACGCTCAGCCTTCAGCAAGTGGTGCACTCCTGAGGGAAACCTGGTCCTCCTGGGGATGTTAGTAAAGAGCTGGGCTCGAAATACAAAACACTATTAATTTAGGTCTCTAGATTAAGAAGGGAAGGAGGAAGAGAGTTACCTGAAGGATGGCCTGAGAACTCTCAGCATTGGCAGCAAATTGGGTGTAGAGCTCCAGGTGGGAGCAGAAGCCCTCTAGCCCCGGCCCCCAGTGCCCTTCTTCCAAGTAGGGAAGCAGCTCTCTGTGCAGGGAAAGGACAGTAAAAAGGCAGGCCAGCAACTACTCAAGCTCTCCCACATATACCTCCCATAACCCTGTCTCGGAGGCAATGCTATTATCCCATTTTACAACTGGAGCGCAGGCAGGTTGAGGCATTGGGCCAAGGCCACAGGTGAAAAAGTTGGCAGATGAACTTGGCCTTTCCGGCTAGGCTGCACCGCTTCCACTCACAGGCTGGCGGCATAGATACGCTCCCAGTTCCCAAACAGGGCCTGGCGCTCTGGTGGTCGTAGTGTCCCCTTGGCTTTCAGGATCCCCAGGAAGTACTGTGAAGGAAACGAATACAGTTTTCTTAGTCTGTCGCAAGAGAAAGGTGCAGCCAGAAACTGCAGACGTCAGTCCGAAGCAAGGTCTGAGACCCTCCCACACCCCCGCCGAGCCCCACCGTGGCCACAAGGCCCAGTTGTTCTTGGTAGCGCCGCTCGGTCTCCAGCAGCTCCCGAGCGGTGCAGACACGTTTCCGTTCCCAACGAGCACGCTGCTGTCGCACCGGGCAGTGCGCGGTGGAGCCTGGGCTCTCCATGCCTGAGCCAGGGTTCCAGGCTTCCCGCAGTGTCGCGCCGGAGATTCAAATTCCAACCGCTCGGGGGGCGGGGCCGCGGAGGTGCGGCCCGGGAGCACAGAGCATGCGCGGGCAGCGGCTCGCGGGGCGGGTCCCTTCTGCTGTGTCTGCCCCATCCGCCAGGGCGGCGCTCTAGGTGCGCTGCGACGTCGCGCTGTGCAAAGCGCGAAGGAGGCACAGCTGTCTGAACACGGAAACAGGAGGCTACAAAATGCAAACGTTGACAAGGACTCTGTCTAACTGCAGAATTAGGAATGTAGGGATAAGTACCGTCCATACTACGTCCTGAGCCCATGCCAGACAGAGAAGCAGTTGGCCAGTCATTCCCAGTGCTTTCACCAGCTAGGAACCTTTGAGCTTTGGTCCAAAGTGTGCAAGTTTTAAGTTACCGTGTTTCTTCATTTAATTTTTTGGTTTTTTTTTTAAATATTTGTTTATTTATTATGTATACAATATTCTGTCTGTGTGTATGCCTGCAAACCAGAAGAGGGCACCAGACCTCATTACAGATGGTTGTAAGCCACCATGTGGTTGCTGGGAATTGAACTCAGGACCTCTGGAAGAGCAGTCGGTGCTCTTAACCTCTGAGCCATCTCTCTAGCCCCCTTCATTTAATTTTTTATTGAGATAGGTTCCTATAATGTAGGCTGGCCTTGAACTGAATTTGAGGATGACCTTGGTTTTATCCGCCTGCCTTCAGCTTCCAGATGCTGAAGTTAGTTTTGCAGTGTCATACCCGGCTTATGAGGGGCTGAGATGGAACCCACTCGTGCATACTAGGCAAGCACTCTACAGCGACATCCCCAGTCCTGGTTTTGTTGTTGTTTTGTTTCATACAAACTAGCTTCATGTGAGGAGTCGGTAACTTGGTAGTTTGGGTTTACTGGAGTTTTTTTTTTTTTTTTAATTTTCTCTCATAAAATACATTCCAACCACAGTTTCCCCTCCCTGCACTCCTCTCAACCCCCCCCCCGCCCATACTTCCTCTCTCCCTCATTCTGATCCAGGACAAAAGCTTTGATGGGTTAGCTGGGTTACCTTATCAAAAGGAGAATGTTCTAAATTTTCTTTAGGACTTTGAGGAATTGGGTATACCCCCGTAAGGTAAATTTGCAGGAACATTTTGTCAATATGTCAGGAATCTCTTTTTAAAAGATTTTGATGTTTAAAAACTATATGTTCACATGGGAGGGTATGTGTACGTGAGAGTGGAGTGTGTGTGTGTGTGTGTGTGTGTGTGTGTGTGTGTGTGTGTGTGAAGCCAGTGCCCAGAGTCCAGAAAGAGTTGTCCCAGGAGCTGGAGTCATGAGCAGTTGTGACCACTCAGTGTGGGTGCTGGAATTCTCCCAGGAGGAGTCATGGGCAGTGTGGTCACCCAGTGTGGGTGCTGGGAATCTCCCAGGAAGAGTCATGGGCAGTGTGGTCACCCAGTGTGGGTGCTGGGAATCTCCCAGGAAGAGTCATGGGCAGTGTGGTCACCCAGTGTGGGTGCTGGGAATCTCCCAGGAAGAGTCATGGGCAGTGTGGTCACTCGGTGTGGGTGCTGGGAATCAAATTCTGGTCTTCTGAGAAAGCAGGGAGCACTCTTAATTCCCCAATCATCTCTCATACAGATAGACAAATAATTTTAAAATAATAAAATAAATATTTTTAAACAAGGGGAAAGGACTGGAGAGATCGTTTTTTAGTTAAGAGTGCTGGCTACTCTTCCAAAGGACTCGGGTTGAATTCCCACTACCCACATGATGGCCTATAACTATCTGCACCTCTAGGTCCAGGGGATCAGGCGCCCTCTTGTGGCCATCTCGGGCATCAGGCATGCATATGGTACACAGACATATGTAATTGAACATTTCTCTCCAACCCACCAGTTCACAAATACCTGGCAGCCATTTCCCAAATAATTGACTCAAACGGAGGCTTAATATAAATTATAAATGCTTGGCCAATAGTGTAGGCTTATTACTAACTAGCTCTTACATTAAGTTAACCCATATCCCTTCCTTATTTACTCTCTGCCATGTGGCGGTACCTTTATTAACATGGTAAATTCATCTGCTCCCTCTGCATCTGACTGGCAACTCCTCACTCCACCCTTTCCTTCCCATCATCCTTAATTTGGTCACCCCACCTATACTTCCTGCCTGGCTGCTGGCCAATCACCATTTTGTTAAACCAATTCAAGTTTACAAATCTTTACAGTGTACAAGAGGATTATTCCACAGCAGACATAGGTAAAATACCCATACCTATAAAATAATAAAATAAGGGTGAGGAGCGGGAGAAGAGGAGGAAGGAGGAACTGGGATTGGTATGTAAAAATAAATGAATTTTAAAAAATAAAATATTTTTTAAAGTATTTATTATTTATACGGTGTTCTGCTTTCACAAATTCCTGCACACCAGAAGAGGGCATCAGATCTCATTATAGATGGTGAGCCACTATGTGGTGGCTGGGAATAGAACTCAGGACTTCTGGAAGAGCAGCCAGTGCTTTTAACCTCTCCAACCCAATAAAATAAATATATTTTATTTTATTTATATTATATATAATAATTTATAAAATTTATATTTATATATTTATAAATTTTTATTTATATTTATGTATAAGATAAAATATTAAAAAGTTCAGCCAAATGTGGTGGTACACACCTTTAATCCCAGCACTAGCGAGACAGAGGCAAGAGGATTTTTGTGAGTTCAAGGCCAGCCTGGTCTACAGAGCTAGATCCTGGACAGCCAGGGCTACACAGAGAAACCCTGCCTCTAAAAAACAAAACAAACTCTAGATAGATAGATAGATAGATAGATAGATAGATAGATAGATAGATAGAAATATTGATGTAGAGATGTAGCAAGAGAGATATCTACATATATCTATATGTATATATGTATTTTTTCAGACTTAAGGCCTATAGAACATTGAGATTTTAAAAAAGCATTGTCTTAAGACACCTGGCTTATGGATATAGTTTAAAAACATCAAAACACTCATAGTAAGTCATAGTTACTCATAGTAACGCCAAGAGAGAGGAGAAAGACAAGCTACAGTGAGCTGTGTGTGTAATGTGATTCCCTCTGCACAAAAAGGTACATGAAAGGCCAGAAGGCTAAGCAATCAAAACCTAGTTGTGTTTTTATCTCTGGGGGATGAGACGGAATATAATTGGACAAATGAGTGTCTACCTGTGCCAGGCAGTGGACTCCTGAGGCTGAAGGTCTAAGTGAGAACGGTGCAAGTAGGGAGATATTTTAAATTCCCTGAGACTCTTCTTCATGTTCCCCAACTTTCCTGCATTGGCTATGCACTATTTTGTAATTATAAAATACATTTTATATTGGGATACTACATGTAAGAAACATTAGATCCCATTTCTTCCATTTGGACTCCTAGGAATCTGGGCACCAAGCCAAGAAGCAGGGGATTGCCAGGGTTCTAAGCTCCCCCAGCTCAGATATTCTAAGAATCCTGAAAATGTTAAATGCTGGGCTTAGACCAGAGAAGAAAAGCCTGAAACGCTTGGAGAAATGGAGAGTTTGGAGCAGACTGTTTCTTTGGCTTGGGTTCCAAGAGAACTGGTATCACTAGGTTACGGGCCAGTAACACTGTCTCAGGTGAACGCAGAGAGACTGCCTGGTGATTTATGTCTGTAATCCCAGCATGTAGAAAGCCTAGTAGCCTGGGCCACACAGTGAGACCCTGTCTCAAAAAAATCAAAACAAAAGAGAAGCAAATGAAGGGCAGCCCATGCTCAAATGTGGGTGAGCACAGATAAACCCCTGGGGATCCTGTGAACCTAAGCAGTAAGAATAGAGGAGCTACAGACACGGCTCAGAGGCTAAAAGCACTGGCTGCTCTTGTTCAGTTCCCAGGGTCTGATACCCTCTTCGGGCCTCCCAGGGCTTCTGCATGTATGTGGTATTCATGCACACACATACACATGAAGAATGGAAGAATTGGAGGGGGGGGGTGGAGGAAGAGGTGGGTATGTCTGAGTATGTCACCAGTCTGTGGGTGGAAGAGGGGATGGAACAGAGCTCACTGTGAACTCAGGTTGGGAGCACTGTCTAATTGGTAGAAGAGGGCAAGGTTGAGGATGAGGAGACACACTAAGGACTTCTTGAAATGTATCCACTTTGGTTCTGCTACATGGTGGCCACATAAAGACATATCCACAGGGCTGGAGAGATGGCTCAGTGGTTAAGAGCATTGCCTGCTCTTCCAAAGGTCCTGAGTTCAATTCCCAGCAACCACATGGTGGCTCACAACCATCTGTAAAGAGGTCTGGCGCCTTCTTCTGGCCTTCAGGCATACAGACAGAATATTGTATATATAATAAATAAATAAATATTAAAAAAAAAAGACATATCCACAGCCAGCGAGTGTAATCTTACCTGGAGAAAGGGGTTTTGCAGATATAACTAGGAATTTTTGTTGTTGTCGTATGTTTTTTGTTTGTTTATTATTGTTATTATTATTAGTTATTATTGTTATTATTATTACTTGAGACAGGGTCTCACCATGTAACTCTGGCTGGCTTCAAACCCATAAAGATCTGCCTGCCTCTACCTCTCAAGTAATGGGACCCAAGGTATGCACCACTAGAATCCAGGAGTGGCAACAAAATAGGCTCCGCCAGGGCCTCCGAGGTAGCCTGATCCTGCCAATACAACTTCAAACTTAAGGCCTACAGAACGTTGAGAGTTTTAAAAATCGAATTGCCATAAGACACCTGGTTTATGGATTTATGGTGATTTTTATGATAGCCCTAGCAATAATAGTGTGATGGGCCAGCCTCAAGACCTCACAACAGCTTTGGTCTTGTCTTCCAATCCATGACTAGGGAGAAGGGGGCTTCTCTCCCGCTCTACCAGTGAGTGGTTCCCTCTTCCGTAACCCAGGGCTAATCAGAAACCTGATTTAGGAATGTGTTTGTCCGGGTTTTAGAAACACAGATCCCAGTGACCAAAGACTTGGCTTT